TGGGTGTGTGTGTGTATGTGTGTGTGTGTGAGAGATCAGACTGGGTGAGTTTGTGTAATCAGACTGGGTGTGTGTGTGTTTTTTTGATCAGACTGGGTGTGTGTGTGTGTGATCAGACTGGGTGTGTGTGTGTATGTGATCAGACTGGGTGTGGGTGTGTGCGTGATCAGACTGGTTTTCATAGAATCCCTACAGTGTGGAAACAGGCCTTTCGGCCCAACAAGTCCACACCAACCCTCAGAGCATCCCATCCTGACCCATCCTCCTATAACCCACCTAATCTACATATCCCTGAAAATTGCAGGCAATTTATCATGGCCAATCCACCTAGCCTGCACATCTTTGGATTGTGGCACGAACCCCATGCAGGCAACAGTCACCCAAGGGTGGAATCGAATTTTGTGTGTGAGAGAGAGATCAGACTGGTTCTGTGTGTAGAAGGTCAGACTGGTTATGTGTGTGTGTGCATATGCAAGATCAGACTGACTGTGTGTTGTGTGTTTGTGCATGCACGTGTGTTTTTATATATGTGTGTTTGTGTCTGTATTTGTGTCTGTATGTATGTGTCTGTGCGTCTGATCAGACTGGTATCTGTGTGTGATGAGACCTGTGTGTGTGTGTGTGTTTGGTCACACGGACATTGTATGAATGTGTGTACGTGTGTGTGTGTGTGTGATCAGGCCGATAAACGGTCAGGCCGGCCGTTGGAGTTTTGAAAGGGAGGTTGGCTGGCGCGAGCGTCGTGCAGCGCGCGCGCACCGTGGTCCAGCCCCGCGCGGCCCCGGCCCGCCCTCCGCGCTCCCTGTGTTGGTACCGAGCGGAGAGGATGCACACGGCACTCGAGTGAGGTATTTAAACACCCATTTGTTTCCCTTCTCACCGCCCCAGTCGTCAAGCGTTTAGACGCGAGTGTGCAGCTCCGGGCGCCGAGCTGCGCCAGGCGAATAGATTCCGTTTGGTTGAAATCCCTTGTATTGAACGCGTGCAGAAAGGGATCGTTGGGGAAGAGGAAAGCAAATGGGGTGGGTGGCAGGGCGAGACAGAGAGAAAGAGACGGGTCTCGCTGCGCTCGAGCTTGGGTCGGCGTCACGTGTTGCCGTTTTCTTTTCTCCCCGAGGTTGAGTATTTTAAGAGTAAAACGTGCTTCAGAATAACAATGGCGGGGCGACCGCCTGATTCGAGGCCTAATGACGAGACGTTACAGGAGATATTTGATTTAGGCTCTGTAAAGAGTACCTGTTTTTTTTTTTTCTTTGTTTGTCTGTGTATGTGGTGGAGAGAAGAGGGATACCGGTGGCGGGGTGGGTTTCTTTTTTGCCGGCGGCCGATATAATGTTGTACCCGCGAAGCGGCGGGAGCCCGGCGCCAAACACCGGGTGTTCAGTTTGTTGGTGCGGCACTGCAGTGTGCTTAACACCGAGCAGCCACTCGCTGCCCTGTTCACGTTTACCGCTGGATACGGCCCTGGTGTGTTTTGCTTCTGAAAGTCTCGCCGATTTCCTTCCCCCGCCCTTTCTGGATGTTATAAAAAGAGTATTAGTTTGGGCGCTTTTTCTTTCGGATGCATGACTTCCCGCCGACCCGATTTTCTTATTTTTCTTTTAACCGGTTTGCAATAAACCCACGTAGCGAGCTCGAGGTTCGCTGCGGCTGAAATGCTGACCATTAAGGGGAGATTGGCACGTAAATGCGTTGTAATTTTAATAAAAGGCCATTGTTAGCATTTTCTAATGCGGAGCTGTCAGTCAATTGCAGATGTGTCAGTTGATTTTTTTTTTCCGATTAATACGTTTTCTATTTTGAGAGCTGCGAATGAAACGATAACTTTTATCAATCCAGTAACGGTCGTTCCAATGTAATAAAATTGTAATACAATAATTTTTTTAAAATCGTCAAATGTTTTGTGTAATAATGAAATTAAATCTCGACCAGTGTTTATCAACTATAGCTCGAATTTCAGTTTGTTTCCGTGGTGGTGTGTATATATTTTTCAATCTGTCGTGCTTTCACTTAAGTGCCCTTTTGTAAGTGCAGATTGCAATTCATGCGGAGTTTCGTACGCTGCTGATTTCTAATGTTTTGTTTTAAAATAATTAATGTACAAGCAATTTTCTAAACATTTGAAAATGGTAAATCTACACGTGAATCGTCATCGGAATAGATCATAACCACGTACCCCAAACGCAGTGTGGAAACTGGTTTCAAAAATTAATGTCCCATGTTTTGATGCTTTTGTCTTGCACAGTGCTTACTTTTTGGGGCGTGGGGGAATGAGTCCCATTGATTTGCCAATGGGGAATAATGGACAAACTGGTAAAAACTGTCTTTAAAAAAAAAATCATACCGTCAGTTGTTCCAGCAGCAGTAGTGATAATTGTGCCATTAAATTAGTACTGACAGAATCCCATTCATTTAGTAGTCAGTCGTAGTGACTACTTGCCCACCTGAAATAGAAGAAAGAGTTTTGTACAAGTGCATATAATTTGGAGGTGTGGTCCTGTTAACTTGCTGGATTTCACAATGAATATATAAACCTTTAAATATAAAATTTCAACTTGGTGGCACGGCAACCAAGCTATTTTGTTGTCAACTCAGTATAAGGTCCAATCGGTAATATAGCTGTGTCCTATGACTTGGTTGTCAGCATTTTTGAGTCTGCAACACAAACGATTATTTCAGCCGAACTGGTTTAGACCAGTGTTTGTGTCACAGGCTTCGGCTGCATTCAACCCTATCCGAATCCTCTAGTGCTTTCTCCCTCCAACTTTAATGGAAGTGATAAGTATGTTTGTATTTTACCAGCATTTGGTAAAAACTACACACTTCTGGGCAAAGAGAAATCTTTCAAATTACCTTTTTTGGATTTATTAAAGCTTGTTATTGATCTGACCCCTAGGTTTGAACACTGTATATGTAGTAACCTTTTTTTTGCCCATTTGCATTAAAAGAATTGATATGTAAGATAAAATCCTCATTAAAAGCTGACTTTTAAATATGATTTGAATTATTTTGTATTTGATATTTCATAGGAAGGTTTATTACAATTTGTCAATTCTTATAGGCAGATTGCTAGTTTTGGAAGTTTTCCAAAATTAGTTCTGGAAAATACAAATTAATTCCCAACTTGTATATTTTGTGTGTGTATATAAATTTCCTTTTGGTATTTTCACATCTAGATCAAAGGTTTGTCTTAACGTAAGACTATTTGGGATGATGAGGTGGAATTTTGCATCTGTTCCCTCTGGCCACACCTTTTATGGAAAAGCAGTTTTTATTTTGGAGCCAAGTGAAATGAGTTTAATTTATCATGGTGTCATATTGGGGGAACAGAGCCATTTCTATAATTGAATTTTATCATAACTAGTGTGTGTGTGGTGTATGAATCAAGCTGCTGTTGATACCATTGCAAAATAAACTGCCCTCTCTGCCTTTCCATCGCTGAAATGGCTTTCTAAGAATTTTCATGATTGCCATAACACTAGCTTCCAAATTTGCATCCATTAGACTAATTAAGTGCAGCACTGAAATGCTAAATTGAGGATGTGGATTTATAATTGAAGTATTTTTTTGAGTACCAGTCATTCTGTAATTACACCCCCTCAATAATAGGATTCTTGATATGGAAAGTGACATATGTAGTCTAATCCATTGCAACAATGGGCAGAATGAAAATGACAACAGATGAAATGAGTTGATTCATAAATGGTAAATGCTAATTTCAGTTCTAATTTAAAATGCAACATTTCATTTTTTTATTTAGTAAGTAGGTTGAGGAATATCCAATGTCCTTGGAAGAAGGGGGAGGGTTGTTGGAGGAAGATGGTAGCATGTTGGTAATGTCATTGAACTGGTAATCTAGAGCCCCAGGATAATGCACTGGAAACTTGGTTTAAATCCCATCTGGTGGAATTAAACGCAGCTAATAAAATCTGGCATTGAAAGCTAGTCTCAGTAATGGTGACCATCAATTGTTGTTAATAACCATCTGGTGCACTAAAGGTACTGAGAGAAATATTAATGAGGAGGGAATATTTGAGAAACCAAAAGTTTAATCAAAGATGCAAGTATTTCAAAGACATTAGGAAATGTGGAAATCTGTTGAAATGCAAACTGGAAGATCATAAACTGGATGGAAGGGGTAAGATTTTCAGAGGACATTTGAAAATGGGAATCTTGCAAATTGATTCACTGAGATTCAGATAACTGGTGAACTTCTTGGGGATGGAGAAGTAGTGGAAGAGAATTCTACTATTTAGTGATGGGTAAAATCTAAACATTTGTTATTTTAGTCTGTTACATTCTATCACAATTATATTCTTTTATTTTATATTGGATGTATGAATCTCAAATCTTGGTGGTATGTAGTCCCAAAATTGTTTTGCTGCCAAACTTGGTACAAGAACCAAGAAGGGTTAGAAAAATTCAGCTATTTCCAGTGATGTTTAACAGCAGCTGAGTGATAAGACTCGCCTTTAAATATTGGCTTTAGATTCTGAATTTCTCCAGAAATAGATTAATTGTGTGGGCACTATTCCCCATCTTCTGGAAATATCTTCATCTTGTAGTATTTCTTCCCTACCCTGCCTTCAGAGATATTGAAATCATCAATGCTTTATACTGTTAATGGTGTGTCTTCTAGCTAACAACTCTTAAGATGTCTTCCTTGTACTACCATTATTCACTTGCAGGATCCTTAACTGTTTGACAGTTTCAGTTCTTGCCCCTTCCCTCCTTCCCAGAACCATGGTAGGGTCCTGACTTGCCACCCAAATAGCCTCTGCAGGAAACTGATCAGCCCCTGCTATTTCAATCATTTCTTGTAGTGCTACCACCAGACATACATTCCTTCTGTAGGGGAAAAGGTATTTTCCATGCATTCTGGTCTTCTAAACATGCCACTGCCCAGCTCCTTCCCATGGTATTTTTTCATGTAAGCACTGGAAAGATGTAATGCTAGTCATTTTGTCATCACATCTCCTCACTCTGTAAGACCCCACCCATGCTTTCTGGGTGAAGCAATGATTTGCATTTGTTTCAGTTCAGCATTCTGTATGTCTCAAAAGGAGTCAGCTCAGTTGGCTGGAAGGCTGGTTTAAAATACACAGTAACACCAACAGCATGGGTTCCATTCTCCTACCAACTGACAGTACCATGAAGGACTCTCCTTCACATATTCCCCTCACCTGAGGCGTGGTGACTGTCGGGTTAAACCATCATCAGCTGTCTCACTCGAAAGAACTCAAGCAGTATTGAGCTCTGCCAGGACAATTATCATTTGTACCTCCACTAACCCCATCAAACACTTCTCTCATTTCCCTCTCATACTAAGTTGCAACCTGAAATGTGAGCTGTCTTTCCCCAGATGCTGCTAGACTCTTGGAGTATTTCAGCAGATTTTGTTTTTGTATGAGAATTTCTTGCATTTTTCCTTATACAATATTGATGGAGGAAAGGCATTTGCCAGTTTTGTAGTTGATTTTTAAACTCCTTAGCCCAAATAAAAGTATGGAAAAAATCTTGATAAGAATTCATGCAAAATGAATTTTTGAAATACTAATGGGGCTTCTTCATTAGGTACTTTAGTTATGGTCATAGTGTTTAATGATTTATAGCTAAAGCATGCCGGTCTTAATAACATGCTATCTCATTAGGATAACCTAGTTTTATGTGGAAATTGCCCATGGATTCAATTATTGCAAAACTGGATTTACTAGATTAGAAATTTAACCAAGTCAGCTCTCAGTATGTAAGGAGTCTCGATATCCTGATGGTGTTGTCAATGCAACCATTGAATAGTTCGACTGGACCTGGACCTTTCCTGAAGCGACTGATACTGAGCTAGCTGATC